CCCCCCCCCCCAAAAAAAAAATTCGGACACAAAAATTGTCTTAGTTGGTATAGAAAACAAAATACGGCCACTTCTATGTCATGGCAGCCATCTTGGATATTTCAATTTCGCCAAGGTACCAGAATGGCATCAGGTAGATCCTTAAACCAGTACGTCTAAAATATATTAAAAAAAACAACCCACAAACTATTGGGTGGACAATACTTTCGGGTTTTCTGGTCTGTTGCCCTGCTATAAAGGGACATTTTTTTACATGTTTAAATTAATACCACTGTTGTGTTGTCTGCATGACCGTAACCAGCTACAAGGGCACAGAGGTCGTGTCCTGGGTTCTTTTCACTTGCTTTACTCACCTCTGAATCACGCTTTGTTTACCATAAATTATAGACTGTTGTTAACCCTATTTTGTACGTCTGATATCTTATTTTTCTCACCACGTGATTTTGCCAGCAAATGTAACTATTAAGTAAGTTATTTCTTTTAGTTTATGCTCCCCCTGGTGTTGTCATTACAATAGTAATTGAACTAAAAGCATTTGAAAGAAATCGATCAAAATATCAAACTTAAGGCGTAATTTTCTTAATTACAATAAATTTATTTAACGAATTTGGAAGTACGTATCGATTGCTAATATACGGTTTATTTTTATTGTAACATGACAGATATATGAGGAAGGAAGCATATTATGCTGATATAATAGCAAGAAGGCAGACAACGAGTTATAAGCATAATGAAGTGATAGATTTATGGTGGAACATATTATGGTCATACCTGAAGTAGACAGACCAATGTTCCACCATAAATCTATCACTTCGTTATGCTTATAACTCGTTGTTTGCCTACTGATTATTATGACACATATTGTTTATGTTAGATAACAAAGGTTATTTCAGTTATTTTTCTTATTGAAATAAATTCTCATTGCTTTATTTACAAAATGAAATCCAGATGTTTCTACTGTGTATTGGTAGATTTACGATTAATATATAACGTATGATTAATTATGTACTTTAGTTTTGTAACGAGTTTCAGTCGCGTGTATAAAGTCGAAATAATCCGAGTCGAATGAACTGAAACCGAACTCCAGGAAATGACCAATTCGGCGTTTCTCAAACAAGAGTCCACGAAGGTACTTCAGAGTTGCGCAAGTCATGTCTGCAAAGAAAATAATTTATAGAAATAAATACAAAAAAATCATAAAATCAAATTTATATAAATTAAAACATTTAATTTCGGAATACAGCTTTTTATGTACACGAAATTTGTTTTCC